AGTCTTGTTGAAAACTTTACCTGATGCTAAAAAATAAAGTAGGACACCTTCTCCTCATCTCCAGTATGGACTAAAGCATCTGTTTACATTGCCAGGTGAGGAGGTGCCCCAGAATATGTGCTCTGCCAGCTAAACATTACTTTGCCTTGGATGCAGAAAAATTGCTAACAGTCTTTCAGAAATTGCTTCGTACTCACTGTACTTAACACATGTGGCCTCCTTAGAGCTTATGTCAAGGCTGTATGGAACATTGTAATCAATGTGCCAGCAAAGGTAGGCGTAACAACAACCACATATCATGTAATGTTGTCATTCGAGATTATTCATGTAAGAGGTGGTTTGGTCTTTGTGTCTTATGTATACAAGGTGTAAGATCATCCTGGATCTATTTTCCTCTGTCCGCTTTAGATTCTGCACAAAGCAGTGTCTGGAGCACAAATGTAATTGCATTGCAGCTATATATTCTGTCAGGGCTTAGCAGCATTACCATGGCAGGGTATTAGCTGAGTGTAGTAAGCAGACCTAATGATTATGACTGTGTGCCCATTGACAGGTGTTGTATGGAGTGACGTCAAAATAAGAGGCAGGCTTATCCAGCCGTGGTTTCCCGCCCCTCTGCTAAAGCCTGAGCCAGTGCTCACTCAACTGTCAAAGAATAACCTGAAGTTTTATAATATGTGGATTCTCAGTAAGCACCAACCAGGATTTCAACATTGATTTCTAGCTGAAAACTGGGAGAGGTCTGGGTCTGAATGTCTAAAATCTTCTTGCCCTCTTCTCAACCAGTTAAAAGCTCTCCCTTCAGTCCATCTATGCATTATGCCTAAGCAGTCTGTACTCAGGCAGGCGCGGAGGGTATTGTTGGACCCGTCCCACATCCTTCAACACGGAATACGACTCCTTGCCTTCTGGCAGAAGGTACAGAATCCCAAAAAGCAAATTGAACCGTTTTAAATACTTTAAATAGATCTGTATGCTGAGGCCTGGGAAGTGTGCAATGACTTGGTGCTCTGTTTGTTTGTTTTTTGTTTTTATTTATTTATTTTTTTAATTTGTTTTAATTTGTTTTAATCTTTCATTGGATGTGTCATGAGTGTGTATGTAGCCTACGTGTATGTCCTTAGCTGTTATATGTATTTTATGTGTATTTATTTATTGTCTGTAAGGGCAGCTACTACTATGCACTACGCACTTTGAGACCATGACAAATTTCCCTTAGGGGACAATAAAGTATATTTGATTCAGTTCTATTCTAAAATGTGGTTATACGTGTCACAAAACACAGATTGTTATATATATATTTTGGTGATTTTGTTGCTCAATATTGACAGGAAAGAGGGTGAGAAAGGGGATGACACACAGCAAAGGGTCACAGGTCAGACTTGAACCCAATGCCGCTGATGTACCTACATGGCAATCCACGCTGCACTTGACGTTACTTTTGTCGCAAGACCCTCATGTTGACCTTTGACTTTGTTAGCAGCAAAGCTTCAGTCAACCGATTCATAACTTTAGAATCGGACTATGGACTATCAACCAGTTAATGGTACATTTAGATCAATCCAAGGTCCACGTACCGGTTGCATCTGTAACATTAAAACTGTTTCCTGACTTGCATCAGTAAATCTTTACATCCTTAGCTTTCTGGTATAATAATTGACAAGGTCCATTTCCACAGGAAGATGTGGTTGTTGAGTGGGTTAAACACAGGACTTTCACTTTATTTAGATAGCCCGCCCACACTTTATTGAGGGATTGTAACATTTCAACAAAATTTGTTGAGATTCAAGAAGTGTTTTCTGATATTACTGTGGTTAAGGTTTGGTTAGGTACCGGCTTTCAACTGACAATTTTGGATGGTCCAAAGTGATGACAGGTTATTATTAGCACATTGTAGAAGATGAAAAAAATTCAACTAGTGCAAATTCTTGGGAAATGTAGTCTAAATGTGAACATTCAATCAATGTCTTCGGTGGAAAAACTTTTGATCCGATTTGGTATGCTGTTTCACCGGTGACCTTAGTTTTTTTTTTTAACATCTTTTCAGCTGAAAAGTCTTCACTGGGTTCCTTGATTACGTGGTAACAAAACAGTTTTGATCAAAACAGTTAAATGTAAAAATGACAGTTTTATAAAAGGCCAATTCTCCAATTTTTTTATTGTTCACTATCACTATCCAAAACTTCCTGATAAATCCTGAACATGGTTGACAGCCACTTTGGCTTTGGCTTTCAGCTGTCCTGGTATTTTCTATAAATGTAATTGGCTGATAAAGCCAAGTGTTTTGGGATCCATCTGCCGACGTGGCGAAGAGACAGGAGAAATCGTTTTCTGGCCTGTGTGTATGTGTGTGTTTAATGCATCTACGGGAATTTGCTCTTTGTATTAACACCTTGTCATTCTTTTGAAAGGCTCTTGACCCTGGCTGCTGTGCATCAAGAGAGATTAAGGTGAGGCAGATTCATTCTCAGCTAAAGAAAATCCACTTCAAGGTCAAGCCAAATACCAAAATGTATTGAACCCCTACAAGGAGGTCCAGAGGTCCAGCTTTGTCTTTCCCAATGATATTTCAGTCAAGGCTCAGTGGATTTATTCATGAGCTAACCACACTGAGGAGAGGAACTTTATTCCATAACACAAACTGTGATGACAAAAAATGGTCATCTTTATGCCGAAAATTCAGTGAACAGAATTTTTAAAACTATAAATGTAAGATTTATGGTGTATGGGATTTGCCGTTTAATTTAAAGAAGTTGAAGTGTGTGTTTGAAGTGTCAGCTGATGTGAAAATCCCTGTAGGCCGTTGTATTTACTGTATTTGATCTCCCCATTGAAGAGTGAAGAGAGAAAGCAGTTGACCTGTCCATTGAAGTGTAAGTGATGAACGCCATTGAACTGTTAATTAAAGACTAAGCTATTAAAAACAGCTGAAATGTCTATTGAACTGTAAATGCAAATAAAAGAAATTGAAATTTCCATTGAAGTTCAAGCACCAGAGACAGTTGAAGTTTCCATCCATCCATTATCTCTAACGGCTTATCCTTTGCAGGGTTGCAGAGAGCTGGAGCCGATCCCAGCTGACGGTGTGCGAGAGGCGGAGTACACCACCCTGGACAGGTTGCCAACCAATCACAGGGTGGACACATAGAAACAGACAACCATGCATGTTAAAGTGTGTGTACTGTAAATAGTAAAGTATCAGTTGGTATGTAAGCAGCGACAGCACTTGAAGTTAAAGCCTAAAAAACTTTCAACATATACATGCTGAAAGTAGTTCTAGCACGGTCAGTTGAATTTGAGGGACTGAAAAGATTTGAATTGTTCATTAAGGGGTACGAGCTGAACGCTGTTGAAAGTTTAGTTTCAGGTTTAAGTCATGTAGGCAGGTAAGTTGTCCATTAATATGTATAACACCATAAAGTCGAGCTTAAGGCAAAAATAGTTGAACTTATTACTTCATTACTTAATACTTGTGAGAACCTGCAACTTCTTTCCCAGTTATATTTCAGTCAAGGCCCAATGAATTTATTTAAAAGCAGAACACTGAGGGGAGAACTTCTTAAAATAAAACACAATGTGATAATAAGACAAGATGTGAAGTATATGAGCAGAAATTATTCATCACCACATGACATGACAAACATTCGAGGACCTAGAGGTTTTCATAATGAAGAAAAAGCTTGTTTGAAAAACACAGATAACGGCTGCCCACTGTGAAGCATTTCTCTGAAATGCCTCATGCTAAAATATCTCAAGGTGGTCTAACAGCGGGAAAACAAATCGTGTTATTCTGATGTATTGCTCTCACCACTCGACACTTGAGTAAGAGATTAAGTGTCTAATTTAAATGCAGGAACTGTCAACAGTCACATCTCGGTGCCACAGCAACAGGTCCTCGAATTGATAATGAAAGTTGAGCCTAAAGTGCTGTAGTTTTAGTTTAGCGTGCACTTGAACTGGGCCGTTGAAAGGCTGATGTGACGAAGCACTTTTCTCCTCCGACAGCCTTGCTGTCTTTAGTGCCGGCGCTGCATCTCACGGCAGCAGCAACAACAAAGCAGCGAGTGGGTTATCTTCTGCAGTCAGCTTAAAAAGAGTCACCGCACACAAACACGTAGGCACCCACAATGTTTCATTTCTTTTCCCAAGCGGCCTCCTTGTGACCTTCACTGCCTTTGGACGTTTCATTTATCTGGTTATTATTTCCCTCTCTTTACTGTTTGACCATGATAAAAATGTTATATTTCATGAGTGGTTGCGTCACCTTCCCTCCCCTTCCCTCACACTCTTTCCCCTCGTTCTGATGCACATAACCAAAGCCAGGAATGCACTGTGACATTAAGTATCACAATTTTATTACAAAAATTAAATTCTTCATCTCTCAGTTTTGCCATGCTTGGAGCATATAACAATACAGTAAAAAACCCAGACCCAGAGAAGATAGTAAAGCAGATTTCAACAATGCTTCCACAGCACTCTGTCATTCATGCTGTTACTATACAAATACTGTAACATTCCTAATACAGAGTAGTACAAACACCTGCCAAAACACATCATGTCAGATAACAAACTGTAATTAAATTACATTTACCAGAAGAACAAGAAACTCAACCCAGCTCAGAAAAGAAAACAGAAAACCAATAAACATTGAAATTGCAACTTATAACATACTGAATGTGCTGAATATTTGTACCAGCCCAAGGCACCCAGGCTTTGTAGCAATGTTGGCAAGTTAACGACATTCTTACAGAAACACTTGAAGCGAACGACGATAACAAATTGACTTGTACCACAGTCTGACTTTGCAGTGTCCTTCAACGTACCCTCCTCTCCTGGCGATCTCTTAGTCAGTCACAGTGCAAGTTCCGGAGGGGCGGGCCAGAGTGAAGGAGGAGGGGGG